TGTCATTATAGCTTTTCATTACCTGTGTAATAATTGCCTGCATTAAACTTTCTGGGTTAAATATTCAGTGATTTCTATTATTCTTGTTGGGTCCTGACACAGCCTCTAGCCACAGTGGCCAATTTATATCCTACTAGAGGCCCGACGCACGAAATTTGTGCACATGGGAGGAGTCTCTCAGTCCGGCCTGCACCCTTTCCAACCTGGGACCCCTCGGGATGTCCACCTGCCTCTTGCAATACGGGACCAGTGGTTCCTAATTGCTCACCTGCCTACCTACCTGCCTGATTGCCCCTAACCCCTTTGCCTGCCTTCTTGATCACCCCTAACCACCTCTGCCTGCCAGATCAATCCTAACCAACTCTGCCTGCCTGCTTGATCACCCCAACTGCTCCCCTGCTGGCCTGATTGCCCCTGATTGCCTCTGCCTTACCTCACACATAGGACTCAGGATTCCCCCCTCTGGCCAGTCACAGACACTTGGGATTTGGGCTTCCCTCCCTCTGGTCAGCCACAGGCACTCAGGACCCAGGCCAGCCGCAGCTGCAGGGGACTGTGGACAGGTGATTTGTCCCTCTTCCAGGCCGCAGGTGCAGCCGTTGGCACCCAGGACTGTGGGGTGGGCGGCTTGTCCCTCTCCGGGCCACAGCCTGGCTGGTCCCCATTCTTCTCCCATGAGCTCATTTGTGACTGGATGGTGCCCATTCCTCTCTCCCCAGTGCTGAGTGTCTGAGCTGTTAAGGCATGATGGCGTGAGGGGAGATGACCATTTGCATAGTAACTCTTTATTATATATATTATATAGGACAGGATAGTAAAGAGACATAAGGAAGCCTCTTTGTGATTCGTTTCTGTTTTAGTTGCCTGTGCTAAAAGAGACTTTTTTTTTTTTAATCAGGCAAATGTTACTTGTAAGTTTATGATTTTAAAAAGTGGTTATAATTTACACAGAGATTTAATTGTAGGCAGATTGTACTACTTGCTTAGAGTTTTATTTGCTGATAATGTGTTGTTTTTTTTGTTCGTTTGTTTTTTCTTAGTGATTGACCTGACCAGGTGCTTATTTTATTTAGATGCTTGACATTTATTGTCACTTTTTCATTTTGTTTGTAAAGATGTTTTGTACTTGGTTATGTAAATCTGTTCTTAACATTTAAAAATGATTTAACTGCCGACTGCAAAATGTGCTCTTCTTCAATAAGCAAAATTCACGTTAGGCATTTAGATGATGAGAAGAATTAATTGGGAAACATCTTAAATGATGCTTGGGTTCAGAAGAATCATTTGAAATAGCTTTCCAGTCCTTTAGGTGTAGTGTGTGACAGATGAGTGAATCTACTGCTTTTGTGATTCTGACTGATGGAGGGAAGAAACCCTCAGTAAATGACTTCCGTTCACTTTGTTAGAAATATCTTGGCATTTCTCACAAATGAGCTTGATACACAAGTGAGTGAATGTAAAGCCAGAGGCCGACAACCATGTGGCCCCGGGTGTTTGGGTCCTTGTGACTGGACGACAAGAAGAGAAGTGATTCAGTGTATGGCCCTTTGGATGGTGTTGAATGTTTTCTCTAGAGAAGCAGAACATACATTTCAGATTAAACAAGAAAACGTCCTCTTACATAACCCTTCTGAATCTGGATAGCATTTTAATATAACACTACAGTATTATTGTTTTGAGACTAATTTTGTGTATCAGCAGTCTGTACTCTTAAGATGCTAGGTTAATATATAATGCCCATATTTAAAACCTCAAAACCCAAAACAGACATTTTTGAAATTCAGAATAGGCATTTTGATTTTGAAGACTCATTGAGATAAAAAGACAGATCTTGTCTGACTTGGCCATTTTTTATATTGGCTACTAATTAGTGTTCCTGAGCCTTTAACTAATTCAGAAAAGCATTTTGGTAATAATTAGCAGTGGATTTACTGAGTATGGAGGCTGGCAGACTATTCCTTAGCCCTGTAATTGATGGAGAAGCAGCCAAAAACACCCTGATGATCAGCATTTCCTTTCTGTGGGATCCAGAGGAAGGGGGAGTCAAAGCATAATTTAGCCAGAGAAGGATATTATTTTTAGCCTTTTCTGAATTTTACTTTTATTAAAAGTGGCAGGAAAATATTAAATGCCACTATATTTGGGAAGGGAAGTCTTATTCACATCCCATTTTCATACTCGATGTATTAAAGCATCATATGTATTCGCTAGTTTTAAATGATTCATTATAGTCAGCAAACTCAAAATACTCTAGGGAGAGGGACAGAATTCAGAAACATGGATCAGATGCTCAGACTATGTGACTGATTGTTTCTAGAAGGGAAAAATCCGGTTCTTTGTAATCATTGGGTCTGTCGAAAGTTTGGCTATGTTTATCTATGTTCCTGAACCTGCTGAAGGAAAGCATAGAACAGTCTAATATGCAAACAAGAAAACTATCTGTACTAAATCTATACTAATAAAAGCCTAGGCGGTTGCCACACCCACACACCATCATAACCCATCACCACGGCGGGCAGGGCTTGATGCTGTGTGTGCCGAACGGGGTATGGGGGTGGGTCCCGGCAGCTGCTCCACGTGTGATTCAGTGTATGGCCCTTTGGATGGTGTTGAATGTTTTGACCTGACCAGGACTCGTGGCTCTGGCCTACCTCTTTGTGGCAATCTATGGGGGAGCCCCCGAGGGGTGGTCGTTCTGGTCATTCCACCATAACGGTCCCTGGTCTTTTATATAGAGAGATAGAATGTGACATTATTTATGTAATACCTTATGGCACAGCAGACAACCCTGCTCTTCCCAGCTTCTCTTCTCTGTGACACTGTAGCCTCCTGTTTTTTATCCCTCCTGTCCTTTTCCTCTTAGCCTCCTTACCAGCTCCCTTTCCTCTTGTTTCTTCCTGTGTGCCTGTCCATGGACTCCGTATACTGACTGGGTTATTTGTTTTCTTCAAACGTAACATTGCTTTCCATCTCTGTTCTCCCAACTTCTGCTCAATCTGTTTCCTGCTTTATGACAGCTAAATTTTATTTTTCACTGCCAGCTTAAAAAACAAACACAAAAAACGTTAATTCATCAATTTTTAAAAATTCGTATCAATTTATATATTCCCACAACATTCTTCACTTTTACCACCTATTATTTATGTGCATGTGTGTTATAGTCTCTGTTAGAGTGTGAACTCCTCAAAAGCAAGAATCTTATCTTCAACTCAATTGAATCTTCCACAGACCATAGCATAGTATCTTAGACGTAGCAGTTACACAATAGATATGTACCAGGATTAAATTAAAGAAAATGACCACTAAATCAAGCATTGAGGAACATTTGCATTAGTGTTTGAAAGATCCCTCGTTCTCATTCAAAGGAAATGAGAAACTTGGAACCTCTGGGATTACTGCCATGACCTGGAAAGGCTCTTATTTGTGCCCAGATACATAACTCTGAATGAACTTTATATCAAACTGTCTGATGAAGAAGCCTGCTTTAAGTGGAATAGGAAATATCAAGCATTTGTTCCTTCACCTTTCCAAGCTGCAAGAGAGAGGTAGCTTTTGTTGCTTTGAGCTTCTTTCTGTCGGTGGCTTTCTGCTGTGCCTACTAATCAGGGTTGTATTGTTTACCTTGTTTAAAAAGGCCCATCCAAGTGTTCTTTCTTTCCTTTGACTTGCTGTTGGATATTAATGTACTGTGGAAGGATACATGGGTAAAGATTTTCAAAATTGCAAGGAAGTGTTTCCTTAATCCCTCAAGTTTGTTAAGCACTTTTTTTTTATAATGGAGATCATAATCTCCTAGTTGGTAGAAGAGATGAAATTGTTACCAGGCACATTTTCTCTTGCTGCAAAATTCTTATATTGGAAAATACTTGATCCAGTTTATAATCCTTTCCACGTGCTGCAAGAGCCTTAGGAAATAAGCGGGTGGCCCTGAGTTTCCTGTCTTTCATGAGGCGTCTGGCATTGGTCAGGTGACTGTGATTCAGTTAGTGGCCCTTATAGGCGAGCCTTGAAAGTACTTTCCATTAGTATTGTACGCACACGTTCATAACTGTTAGAGTGCTCAGCTGAGGCCATGGCCGGGGCGGACATGCAGTCTGAGAACATCTTGTCATTCAGCATGAATTGCTGCCAGCCCTAAGGAGTGGTTTCTGGGGCTGAATGAGAAGGAGCCTTTATGCCATGAAGGTGCGTGTCTCCATGGTCTGTTCTTCTGTGCAGATGTAAGGGTCAGTTTTAACCTGCTCAGCAGCTTAGTTTCCTGATGACGTTGTATTTCTGTTTTTCTCTGCTTATACACTGAAGAATTGTTTGTCTGTCTAGAAGGCAGCCCCAAATTGCAGTCCACCTTGGAAATGATAACATGAATGTGTTTTCTCTTTCTGTAGCATTTATGGCATTGCTGGCTGACAGTTATTGTTTATTAAGTGTTTATTATGGATTGTAGACTGCTGAGCAGCATAGAGATTATTTGGGTTCAGCTGAGAGCAGAAGATATGTAGCAATGACTTCCCATTCTAAAGGAATTATTAAATTAAGACGAGGCTGGTCTTTCCTAATTTGACCTGGGATTAGTAGAGAGGTGTCCCTGCCTCATTATTCTCTACTGTTTTGCTCTGTTTGACATTTATCTTAAGTATAATTAGGGGAGGGACTAGAGGACCTATCTTTTATAAATATATCTGTAAAGGCAGTTGTAAATTATCCCAATGGTTCCTAAATTCTAGAGAAGGGAGAATAAAAAGCAAAACCAATAACTTTATTAAAACTCAACAATTTAGTATTTGAAGTCTCAAATAGAACATTTAGCTATAATTTTAAGCATTTTAGAAATTAAATTTTATTTCTTGGCAAATATCAGCATGTACCACCCAAACTTTTCAAATAAAGACATCTAGTATCAGCATTTTGCATCTCCAGAAAAGATAGCCACACAGAAGGATGTATTCTCTCTAACAAGCATCACTTGAATAGAGAAAAATAAAACTTGTCTTGTGTTCTAGCGAGTCGCCAGCTAATAAGTCACATTGAACAGTTTTTGGATACTAATGAAACACCGTATTTTATGAAGAGCATGGACTGCATCAAAGCCTTCAGGGAAGAAGCCATTCAGGTAATACTATCCTAGCCTATCTCCTCACCCTAACCCGTGGGCCATCATCACAGGGGAGATGCATATAGCACCCACAAATAAGCCTGGGCTCTGGAAACAATCAGTCTCACTGTGAATAGCAAATGTATGCCAAGAGAAGTGGAGATGACTAACTCATCCTACTGTCAATGTCATTTCTGGGGATAAGGATGGATGGAAGAGTGGAATGCTTTGTCCCTGGGAATGAGCTTTTGGTTATGTTATAGCCCTGGCTGTATGGTTTCTATTAGGCAAGCAGGAGAGTTCCATTGTACCCCTAGTGTTCCAGTCATTATTGTAAAGGGTGGACTAATTATTTAAGGGTATTGATGGGAAATATATATTGTGTAATTATTGAGAAGGATTTTATGAAGACAGGAGTAGAGATCTGAATGCCAGGGTGTAAAAGAACACTGAAAATTAATTACTCATTACCTCTATCCTGCCTTTTGTGTGGGTTTTTGTTGGTGTATTTTATTGGAAATGTTTATAAAACACTTCAAAAATCTTCCAAATTATTTCTAGGCTTTTATGCATAAGCTCTAAGCAAGAGTAAGCAAGTTTAAATGATAAAAGTAGGCAAAATTGTAGTTCTTATGTCTTGTACTAATTGATATTTGCTGAATAAATGAGCAGTATAATTATTGAGTAATTTAGATACTTGCAAAGAATAAAAAATGGGACAATGATTACAGTTAGAATAGAATAAGAGATTTAGTAGTAGGTGACCCAAATGCCCTACAGATAAAAGGAAAACTTTTGGCAGAGTAGAGTCAGAAGAAGATGGCGGTGACTCAGGCTGGTGAAAAAAGATTTCATTAAGTGGAAAATGGCAATAAAGAAATACTGCTTTTTAAGTAACACGGCTAGATGGCGTCTGAAGACATTTCTGTGTACTCCTGCCACAACTTGTCCTGAAAAGTAGCTGATGATAGATTTCTTTAAAAACAAAAAAAGAGTTGGAGGAAAATCAAAAGAGACTTTAAAATTATATCAATTAATCTTTATATAAAGACATTCCTAATTGTAAAAAAAAAAAAAATGTTTTTAATGTTTTCTGGAATAGCTAGTGGTGGTGCACAAAATTCATGCATAAGGGTGGGGAGGGAGTTCCCTCAGCCCAGCCTGCACCCTCTACAATGAAGAACCCCTTGGGGGATGTCTAACTGCCGACCTGCCTCTGCCTGTCTGATTGCCCCTAACTCCTCTGCCTGCCTGTCTGCCTACCTGCCTGATCACTTCTAACCTCTTTGCTTGCCTGCCTGATTGCCCCTAACTGCCCTCCCTTGCTGGCCTGATCTTGCCCTCAACTGCCCTCCCCTGCCAACCTGATCTCACCCCCAATTGCTCTCCCCTGCCAGCCTGGTTGCCCCCAACTGCCCTTCCCTGCTGGCCTAATCTTGTCCCCAATGGCCTTCCCCTGCTGGCCTGATCGCCTCTAACTGCCTCTGCCTGCCTGGTCGCCCCTAACTGTCCTCCCCTGCTGGCCAGATCTTACCTCCAACTGCCCTCCCCTGCCGGCTTGATCATTTCTAACTGCCTCTGCCCTGGCCCCCACTACCATGGCTTTGTCTGGGAAGGAATTCATACATCTAGAAGATGACTGGTTGACCAGTCTAATTAGCATATTAACTTTTATTAGTATAGATTGGGAAAATATAAATACTGATTCGTTATTTGCTTCTATTAAGGAATTATTACATTTTATGACTACATTTTAAATAATATATATTTTAGATATTGTGTATTGAAATACTTATAGATGAAATAATATGATGGAAATTTTCTTCAAAGCAGTCAGATTTGTGGGAGAAGGTGAAGGTATAGATGAAAGAAGATTGGCTGAGCTGATAATTGTTGAAGCCGAATAATGGGCATATGAGTATTCAATGAGTTATTCTCTATTTTTGTTTGAATATGTCTGTATTAAAAGTTAAAAAACAAAGTACCAGGCCACTAAAAAACTGTGTGGTTCTGGGAGGTTTTATTCCTTCCACAGATGGAAAGGTTTCAGGTTCCTATCAAATGAAATTGAAATTGGAAATAATAGTTTTCCATTTACCAAAGAAATATGTATATTATAGATATATATTATATGTATTTAATACTATATACAAATATATAACATATTTAATATGTATAAATATACACATACATGTATAATTGTAATATACATACTGTCTGTTATAAATGACTAATTCAGTATATATATAGTACTTTGGCCTGGGAGGACTTATTTTTATATTTGCTCTGACTTGTCCCCACAGTTTTCAGAAGTTCAGCGCTTTAACAATTTCCTGAAAGACCTTCAAGAGAAAGTGGAAATTAAACAATTAAATCATTTCTGGGAAATCATCATTCAGGGTAAGCTATCATTTTCTTCAAATATTGATGCTATTTTTTCTAAATATAAATACAAATTCTAATATATATATTGTGTTATTTGATGACTTTTGCTGTGTATTTGGGAACAGTTCAGGATTCAATGAACTAAAAACATCCTGCCTAATAAAAGAGTAATATGCAAATTAACCATTACTTCGCTAGACCCACAAGCCACGCTCACCAGCCAATCAGGAGCAAGCATGGAAATTAGCACAACCAAGATGGCTGTGGCCACAGATAGAGCAGGAGGGAGGCTTGGATTTCCCTGGCAATGGAGGAAGCCAAGCTTTCCACACACCCTGGCCAGCCCAGGCCTCTGCTTAAGGCTACAAAGTTTCAATTATAGAAGATAAATAAATCCCCTGCCACCACGGAGCAAGCAGAAGGCTTGGCTCCACTCCAAGCTACAAAGTTTCAATTGTAGAAGATGAATAAATCCCAGATACCAGGGCTTCTGCTTGGGTCACCAAGTGGGGCGGGGCAGGCCTGTAAACCACCACAGGCCCCTTGCCCAGGCCACTCTATGCCCCAAGGGAACCCCCACCCTGATCCGGGACACTCTTTAGGGCAAACCAGCCAAACCCCACTCGAGCATCAGGTCTCTATCCTATCTAATAAAAGTAATATGCAGATTGACCATCACTCCTACACACAAGATGGCTGCCCCCATGTGGTCAAAGATCCTGCCCCCATTTGGACACAAGATGGCCAGCAGGGGAGAGCAGTTGGGAGGGACCAGGCCTGCAAGGGAGGGCAGTTGGGGGTGACTAGGCTGGCAGAGGAGGGAAGTTGGGGGTAAACAGGCTGGCAGGGGAGTGGTTAGGGGGTGATCAGGCTGGCAGGCAGAAGCAGTTAGAGGCAATCAGGAAGGCATGCAGGTGAGCAGTTGGGAGCCATCTGTCCTGGATTGTGAGAGGGATGTCGGACTGCCCATTTAGGCCCGATCCCATGGGGCCTAAACGGGCAGTCGGACATCTTTTGAGGGGTCCCAGATTGGAGAAGGGAGCAGGCTGGGCTGAGGGACACACACTCCCCCCCCCCCCGCCCCCCGTCCCCCCGCCCAGGCCTCTAATAATTTAATAAGCCTAAAATCAAAGAGGTAAATAATAAGTATACATGTAAGTCCCACATGAAACTATAGCCTGACCTGTTTCAAAGATCATGCCTTTCTGTTAGATGAAAGAAGCTGTGAGGGCAGACTTGCCCCCTTCCCCAGACTCTGAGATACTTTGAGTCCTGCTAGACCATGGCACGTTCCTTGGCCTCACCTGCTACTTTTCATTACCATGTCCTTGGATTTCTCATAGCAGCAGACCAGCATCTTCAGGAACCAAATTTGGCCACTCAGTTCCTCACTTATTTACAGTAGCCAGTGCAAGTAAAACCTCGAAAGAATGTAATACACTTTTTTTAAAGCATTGTGTTTGATTTTCTTCATGCCCTTTGCCCACTTTTTTAAGCAGACTTGATATTTTTTCAGAACCCAAGTATTCTGTACAAGCCATTAAAAACAACGATGTTAAAAAGTATGAAGCTTTTCACTTGAAATAGGGCCCCAGAATTACTTCCAGCCTGCTTTCTGTGCATTTCTGTGGGAAGGAGTTACACACCTATCTATCCAGCTTCTAACGTGCAGCTTTTCATCACACAGGCAACCATTTCCCTGACAGTTCATTTCTCAGCCCTTTACCTCCTGCACTGGGGAACAAAAGCAATCAGAATAGGTGGCAAATGGGGCTTCCTCAAATCACTCTTGTGTCTCTGCTGCCGACCTGGCAGATGAAAGAGATTGGTTTTGGTATTTATTGAATGCCTCCAGCATACTGTTTGCCAAAAAGAAACAGAACATACACAAGACACATATTTTCTGAGAGCTTATATCCTATTGAGAGAATACACACGACTTGTGCCATTTCTAGGTACAAATGGATATTAAATGCATGTGCTTTTCTGAAAGTATTTCACGCATCAGCTATTTGAGGCAGGAGAAAATTTTAGGAAGATGAGAAAACTAAAGGGTAGATTTTTTCTCCTTGATTTGCTCTCACTGAGCTAAAATTGATGTGCTGTGCTAAATGATAGACGTGGCCATTGTAAGAGATGTTTCCTCCCGACCTTGGCCTTCCTGCTGTTCCATCAATAGCCAGTAACACTTCTGGAAGTCAAAATATCTGCAGATTCCCATGTTGGGTACCAGAGTATAGAGTCATTCAGTTATCACTTATTTACTGAGCTTTTGCTGTGTACTACATTGAGGGGAATATAAAGATGAATAAAACCTGCCCTAGAGAAAAGTGTAGCGTCCCAATAGGAGAGATGAAATGTATATAGGGTAAGTTATACACAGTAAGATAGGATAAGAGCCATTTCAAAGGCATGAACAAAGTGATCTGAGACTTGTACAGGAGAGATTATTCTGTCTGGATTTAAGCAAGGAAGACTTCACAGGACATTTGCAATGTGACTTTTACACAGCAAAACTAGGAGAAAGGGTAATGTAAGATGGAAGGAATTAGGTGGGTGAAATGTCTTTATAGTTTTATATTCCTTACAGAGAAGAGCACAATCATAGTTTTAAAAATCTCCAGTTCTAAATGAGAGGAGGTGTGGTGGAAAGGAAGGTGGGACTGGGGTTGATTCTGTACTTAGATTTTACTCTGCATTACTTTGTAGATGGAATTACTCTGATCACCAAAGATGAAGCCCCTGGAAGCTCTGTCACGGCTGAGGAAGGCAAAAAGGTACTGGCTGCTCCCTATCTATCTTTAGATCAATTATTGCAGTAAATGTTATTTTCTTAATGCCCATTCTTATTTGAAGAAGTTACATTTTTTAGGGTAACTATTTTTAGTGTACCCATTTTTATTCAGTATACAGGCAAATTGCAGCATCCTTATGGGGGAAATTATAATCTCACTCAGTGTCCGTAGACTGTGGTAATGTTTCAGAACTCTCCTGTGACCCCAGCTTTAGTAGCTCCAGAGCTGCTGACGTCCATAGTGCAGACCCCATTCTGGCCACACATAGGTTGCCTGAGGAGCTATTTTTTACAAAATATACTGATGGCCAAACTCCCCCCTCCCCCCGCAAGGTACTTTTTGTCTGAGATGGGTCCTAAGCATGGTTTTGAATTTGTGATTTTGCAGCAAGGTGGCAAAACACTGGTGTTCTAGCATAAGGCACACCTAGGTGTTTTCAGTAAGAAAAAGACCCATGTGTGAGACCCAGAAGATTTGTATTGACCCAAATAGTTAGGTCAAGGTCTCCCTGTTGTGTATGAGTACTGAATCTGATTCAGCTATGAGTCAAATAGGTGTGGCTCTGTAGGTCCTTCATTATACCTAGGTTTTTGATAAAAAATTTTTTGAATATATTTTATTGATTTTTCACAGAGGGGGAGAGAGAGGGATAGAGAGTTAGAAACGTCGATGAGAGAGAATCATCGACCAGCTGCCTCTTGCACACCCCCTACTAGGGATGTGCCCGCAACCAAGGTACATGCCCTTGACCGGAATCGAACCCGGGACCTTTCAGTCTGCAGGCCAACGCTGTATTCACTGAGCCAAACCGGTGCCAGTGGTTTTTGATAAAATTTTAATGGAATTAGATTGCATAGCTCAAAAGTGTATGGTTCACAGCATTGAGCTTCAGTTTCTGTCACTGATTGACCCAATCCTGCCAGTTGTGACCTAAGCCACTAATGCAATAGTGACTGTCTGCTAGGCACTGTGGTGGATGGTAAGACAGCACCCTGTCCTCTGAAACCCAGAGGAGCAGTTACAGGGAGCAGAGGGAGGCAGTGAGGCTCAGACAACACTGTACCATGGAGGGAGAGCTTGGTCTGGAGTGGCAGACGGGAATCTGTTAAGGGAATGGCAGGAACAAGGCTGGAAATAGTCATCTTATGGCTCAGTTTAGGCCAAATCAAGAACGCCTTGAATTTTTATGAGTGATTTGGTAGAAACTCTAATGTTGTTTGGAAGAACAGTTAGTCTAAACATGCAAGAATTTTTTTTAAAGCACTTTGGCAAAAGGCTTTTGTTTTCAGGAAATAATATGCTGGAATTTTAGAAGCAAACTTTAAGATTCTGATTATTGTCTCAGGAGGGGTTGTCTGCACCCTCTTTGCTATAATCCGTACTATAAGGCTGCCAGTACTTGAGGGTATGTCATTCAGTGGCTGTGTTTTATTTCTATTTGTTTCTTTATTTCACCCTCTAACTGGGTTGTATCATTCAGGGCTCTGCACAGAGGCAACCAGTAGGATGTGTGTGATAGAAGGGAGATTGATTTCTTTTAAGGGATTGGCTCATATGATTGTGGAAGCTGGCAGATCTGAAACTTGTCAGGCAGGCCAACAAGCTGGAAACTCAGGCAGGATTTCTATTTACAGTCTTAAGGTAGAATTCCTTTAACTGATTGGATGAAGCCTACCAACATTATTGAGGGAACCTTTACTGTAAGTCAGCTGATTGTAAATGTTAACCACATGTACAGCGACATCTAGATGGGCATTTGACACAGCAGCTAAGCACCATGGCCTAGCTAAGTTAACAACTAAAATTAAAACTAACCACCACATAGCCTGAAGGCTTGTCAATCAGTGTTTGCTAAACAAATAAAATTAGTCAATACAAATACTTTAATCTTAGTCACTATTGCATTAAAATGTCTATTATTTAGGTGAGACTTTAGTGCATATTATAATTTTTGGAAGAAGGGACACTGATCTAAAAGTCATAGTGTCACAGCCCAGTGGTTCCAGTGCGTTAAAGTTAAAGCAGAGAGACACCTGAAGGGGGATCATACGCTTCTTGCAAATTGTCAGGTTTGTTCTGTGTTGCCTCCCCATCAGGAATTTTGATGTCTGATAATGTAGCTATAGAGAGGAATTTCAGTTAATGACTGTGTCTGGGGTGGTGTCCTTACATGATTCTAATATCAGCAGAACTGATTTCAGTTGGTTGTAATTCTGAACACCTCATCCCTGACTGGAAAGAGAACATGGTGCTCAGTAGATTGGTGAGATTCTGAGCAGAGGCTGATGGTTAGTTTCTAGTTCTACAGAGGGATAGAACTGGAAATTTCTGTACAAAGGTTATTGATTCCATTTCTCTGCTTGGGGCCAGGATTGTATTTCTGTGTACTTGACAAGTAACAGTTTATCCATCTACTTAAGGTCTCTGAGTAAGGACACTGGGAGACCCAAGTGAGTGACGGCGCTCTGAGGAAGGAATTTGTCACCCACGTGCCCTTTCTATTTCTTTCCTACCTTTTCAGCATCTTGCAGAGGGAGGGAGCACAACAAAAGATGCGAGTTGATGCCTACCCATATTGCTGCCTTCAGAGAACTGTTGCTTTTATTGAGAGAGCAGGCCCATCCTTGAATTCTCTGCTCTGTCTCTCACTTCCTTGTCACTGTGCAGCTTGGAAATCACTGGCAGTTTAACCCTCTGATGAGGAGGAGTGATACATGTAAGAGATCAGCCTTGCCTGGGGCTTTGGGAAGGATAATGGACGGCAGCCCAGCTTTTAGCCACAATTTGCTTACGCAGAAATGCTGAACAGCTCTATCAGGACACTCAGTTGCAGGTGCTTCGCACTGGATGGAGATGAAAGTTTGTTTGCTGATGTTCCTCTCTTCCTAGGAATTTGGCCTAGTCTCAGAGATGTGCCATTTGTGTTTAATTATATAGACCTCCAACCTACTGTGCAGATAGTCCTGTCTCAATTTATCCTCTAATTGCAGTGTGAAAGGGGCTTTGCAGGTGGGGAAAGGATGGTAATATGGATTTTTAGGGCTGTGTGCCAAAAAACATGAGGGATTTTCTAGTTTCCTCAGTAAGCACCTACCATGGATCAGGTTGCTAAGGGTAATAGAAGATGCAGTGGCCGGTAGAGCTTTTGGCCTGCAGTTTGTCTGTATTTGGAAGATGCTGGGCATTTGTGGCTTCACAGAGGTTTAGAGCAAAATACAACTCTACTTTTTATTCTCTTCACCCAACCAGATATCTTATCCTTTAGCCATTAAATTACTGACACAGGGGAAATGAGAAAAGAAACAAAATAAAAATCTTTTTTAATAGTTATAATATTGTAATTAGAATCATAAATAAAAATTAATTTGGGAATCTACGATAGAGCAGAGTATATAACCTTTAGACATAAACCGTATACAAATACACATGTAGATTTCTTATTTATCTGTATTTGACCCTCAGATATATTCATTAATAATTAACCAGAATAAATAAATAGGATTAATGATATGGAAGCTGCATTACAGTTCTGTTCTAGACTGTACCCCTACTGCTAGCATTTTCTCTCTCTCATTGACTGTAGCACTGAACACAGTCCAATTTAGGGTCAGCAAAGGGCAATGGGAAGATCCATAAATGTCTTTTAAAAGATGTAAATCCCTTAATCTCTCCGTCTGGCGTGAAGATAATGAATAGTGGGGTTGCTTTGACTGGGGGTTACAAGTTCAGGGGCACTGTCCAGGGTGCTGACAAGAGCACCGCCCAGTTCTGCACTGTGCCACTTGGTTAACTGGGGGAATTTTTGTCCGTGAGGAATGGAAGGCGTGCAGCACTTGCTTTCTAAGACTTGCTGTGCACAGCCTCATGTTTAAAGGGTGACTTGTTGAAGAGACATATTTTGAGTCTATAAGTTTTAGGTTTCAGGGGCCTCGATCATATCCATTTCACCATAAAAATAACAGGAATGTACACATAGGGAAAGCAATTCTTGCGTTTTTCCATGTTGAGGAAGTGAGGAAAGTACAGCTACACTTCTCCCTCTCGGGTGGAGCCAGAGTGGGCGGGCAGGTTTGCTCACCACGCGCATGCTCTGTGCACACTGACCCAAGGAGTGCTGATAGGATGCGTGCTCACCTCCTGCCTCCCCTCCTAAAAGCACTCGCTTCTGCAGGCTCCGCTCTGCTGCCATGTTCAGTACTCAGTGCTGCCAGAAGATCACGTCTTGTGTTAGGACAGATAAGTGGTTGATAAAACCTCGCTCTTAGATGCGCTTACCACGCGCCTCGAAGAAAAGGAGTCCCCACTGCTCTCTCTCGGAGGGACAGGCTGAGAGCAGGGTGTGCAGATCATTTCAAGGGCTCTCATTAGCCTTTTAAGGTCTGAGTTTTATACCCAGGTCCTTGAGGACTTCCGTTCAGGCCCTGGCTTTGCCATGGCTCTGCCTTTCAGAGGCTTCAGGCCTGTGACGCGGCTCTGAGCAGACAGATACACAAGAAGTTTCTTCATCCACTGATTTCCAAACAGTTTCTAACACAAATGTGTTTCCAGAAAATGGATTGAATAACCTCCAAGCTCACCCATTTATTTGTTTTACATCATTGATGAGAAATTCTCCCTTTTACCTCTTTTGCCCAAAGAGGAGAGGAGTTGGAGAATAGCTGATTATAGTCTTTAATTCTGACGTTTTATTTTTATGATCCCTTCAAAGGAGACCAAGGCATACTGGTTTAGGGAGTTTGGTTCTTTTCTTAACCCTAACGACCCCGCACATCTCCTCTGGGGGCCCAAGCAAGAACATCAGGCATCTTCCTGGGACTCTAGGGTCACTGTCTCCCTCCTCACAGGCACTTTCTCGGTGACTAGTTAGTGTGGACAGCTCAACCTCCGAATGAGTCTTTCACCCAGAGACAAACAAAGGAGCGGATAGCGAGATGACGCTTGTTGGGAGCCATCAGGAGCAGGTCTCAGGTTTGCCTGTGGCCCTGCTAGCGGTTTGTATCTTCATCTCGAGAGGAGGAATGTCATTTTGGCATCATGACTGCCTTTATGTCCACAGTTTCTGGCCCCCAAAGAAAGTCCAAACGAAGAGAGAGCAGCCCTCTTTGAAGAAGGTGGTGACGTGGATGATTTGGTAAGTACTTTCCAACGAACAGGGGCTAATCTTGGAAGCGGTCTGACCTGTGAGTGTAGCACAGAGGCTGCTGGTCATAGCCTCGTTTCTTACTTGTGCTTTCATTCCTCACACACCGGAAGCTCCCGCACTGTTACTTGTTGCCATCACAGATTTAATCAGGTGATTTCATAGTGGGAGTCCCTGTGCACGGTGGTTTTAGTCACATAGTTCACCCAGTGTAATCCTCCTCTTTGAAAGACTGAGAAAGCCGGGAGGCTCTTCCTGTGGTAGCAAACTGGCCCAGTTCCTGAAATTGCTCTCAGCCTAAGTGAGCGACACAGAGTGTGATTCGTATGGGTTAACAAATAAAAAAAACCCAGCTTTTAAGAAGCCTAATTCTTTTAAAAATATATATATATTTTATTGATTTTTTACAGAGAGGAAGAGAGAGATAGATGGTCAGAAACATCGATGAGAGAGAATCATCGATTAGCTGCCTCTTGCACACCCCTACTGGGGATGTGCCAGCAACCAAGGTACATGTCCTTGACCGGAATCGAACCTAGGACCTTTCAGTCTGCAAGCTGACACTCTATCCACTGAGCCAAACTGGTTTCGGCAAGAAGCCTAATTCTTAAATGTTCTCACAACTTCATGTAAGCAAACAGGCTGGCAGGCATTGGGGGTTCTGGACCGCCTGGGGCTGTGTACCGGTGTTGGCCTTCGTGCCCATCTTTCCAGTGCGGGAACGTTCTGCCTTTAAGGCTCACGTGACATGACAGCCATCCAGTAAGAGCTGTCAGCTTTCCGTGGGGAAGCTCTTAGCATTACAGTGAGGAGATACTTGGTATTTAACTACTGAGATAGTTGGTGGTGGACAAGAATGCACGTCCGTGCGTGTTGCCCGCAAAGAGAGCATCGTCATTGAACTCACCAGAGCAGCAGTGGCCTGGCTCCTCTCTGACCCTGTTGTTCCTGTTGCAGCTGGACCTGATTTAGGTGCTGGAGGTGTGGGATCGGCACAAACCATCCTGACTGTCCTGCTGGGACCTCTACACCGAAGAGCCTGGAGGGGTCGAAGCTCTGGAGACAGTCTCTGAGGTTGCGCGAAGGAACCTCCTAATTCTGCGTGTAATGAGCACATACACCTGAGGGGCATTTATCCGCGTACACGTTTATAAAGTGTCCTTGTTTTCTGATTGCTGTGTTGTTGCTTGTGGTCTTACCGATCTCCGTACATAGCACATGTGCTTAGAAGTTTCTGGAAAATGGACTCCTCCTGACCTGGATGTTGGTGCGGGTGGCAGCCCCCATGAAGCGCTTTCGTTGAGAACCAGGGCAGGGCCCTGGGTGAGTTTCTCAGTCCTCACAGGAGGTGTGGTCCATCACCTGGTCCTCTCAGCAGTCACAGCTCACACTGATCATGGATGTCCTTCAGTTCCTACAACAGAAAGCTGGGTTAGGAAAGCATTGGGTAGGGTAAGTCCTACCCATTTCTGTTTTTGTGTAAGCCTTTTAGTCCCACAGTACTTTGGCTGCCTGTGCAGGTGGTTTTCCATGAGCAGGTGGGAGGGGAAGCAGTCTCCTGGGTACCCATTCTAAGCAGAGAGTGACGGTGTCCTCATGGAGAAAAGATGCTCTTTTGGCCCTCTGACATGTTAGTGATTCCCCCCCACAAAAAAATTCACCGCAGTAGTTAGGATTTTATCATTTCACTAGAGGCCTGGTGCACGAAAATCATGCACAGGGACGGGGAGGGAAGGTATCCCTCAGCCCGGCCTGCGCCCTCTCACAGTCCGGGACCCCTTTGGTAGGGTTCCTAGGCCTGGCTGGCGATCAGGGCCCATTGGGGCTTTCCTTCCCCCGGTTGCTGGCAGCTGGCCCCACCCCCACCGCTGCCACTGCTTGCCATGTGTGTGGCACTGGTCCCCCACTGCCCTCCGCCATTGGTTGCCTCCCTCTGCTGGCGACAGGCGTGGGGTGCTTGGCTGGCCTGGGCCTCCCTCTGCAAGGTGATCACTGACTGGCCCCGCACACTCACCACAGCATTGCTGGCCAGTGGCCTGGGCCTCTCTCTGAGGGGTGATCATACATCCTGTGTGAGTGGAAAGGGTCGGGCTGCTGAACTGTGAAGAAAAAATCTGTGTCTGCATTTATTAAGGATGTAGATATGAAACAAACTACAGAGTGTTCCATAAATGTTACCTGTTATTGATATGTACGTGTCTTTGTGTCCTGTTGATGAATTCTTATGTTTGAGGAAAGAGACCACATCACGGGCAGTGTCTGGTCCCAGACATGTGGCCTTTTTGTGTTGCCTTTACGGCATTGTGTGGGGTACTGCCTCTCCGTGACACACCCTTCCCTCTACCTCCTGCCTCAGCACGTACGTCCCTCTTGGACCCTTTGAAAGTGCTTCCAATCAGCCACCTCCTGTCTGCTGCAGCCCCCTGCAGAGCTCTTGTCTGCACTGTCTGCCTGTGCCCCATGGAGCAGGAAACCCCATCGAGCCAGGTAACCTCAGGGCTGCAGGTGTGCAGGGCGTCTTTGAGCTCCGTCAGCTCTGTCCTGGCTGCTGGGGCCCACACTTAGTGAGAATCCCAGAGGGGGCTGGTTGGGAGGCTCAGGCAGACTTTGCTTTATATAGAATCACCCCTGGAGCTTTAAAAACTTCTGCTTCCCAGGTCTCAGCCTGCTGATTGGGTCAGAAAGTGGGAGCCGGCATCAGGAGTCAAGATCCCCACCTGATTCCATGTGTGACCAAATCCGGGCACCATCTCCTGTGTTTCCCTACTCCTCTGGGCAGTATTTCCCTGTCTGCCTGGTCTCTGCATCTCAGGGCTGCAGGGGACAAAGCAGGGCTTCTTCCTTTGTCCCCCTCCCGCCTTGCTGCTCCCCTTTCTCTTTTCTCCTATCAAATTAAGTCCTAGACAGTGAGGCCAGAGTGCTCAGTGCACAGAATTAAACAGTTACCTCCAAACAAAGCAGAGGGAAGTGTCTGTCTGGTCCTGCCTTGTATATGTCTACTCTGACTTTTTAGGGCCGTGTAATGAAGGGCTCTTAAGTCTAGAGTCAGTGGAGAACCCCTGAACCCCAATTTTTTCCTGGTGAGATAATAGGATGAAATGATGCTAACTCCAGTAAGGGCAGTGTTGAGGATATAGAAAAAGAGAGGGGCTAGCCTTGTGTGTTAGTTTAGAACAGCAATTTTCAACCTTTTCCATCTAATTGCACAGAAACTAATTACTAAAGTTCTGCAGCACAGCAAAAAGAATACTTTTTAATAACATATGCCAATATGACCAAAAATAGGTATACTTTTGATTCACACCACATGGCTATTGTTTTTTGTTTTTTGTGTTTGTTTTTTTTTTAAACCTAAGGGAAAGGGTCAGTGTCCCTGATTAAATAGTCAGGTATTGCATGTTTTAGAAATCCTGTGGCAAATTGGTGGAAAATTGCTGGTATAGCAGTTCATTTCTGGGAGGTCCCAAAGACCTGAAAGCTTGCTCCCTCCGCTGCTTGGTGCTGGTTCTGAAACGCATACATCTCATTCCCATAGCTCAAGGCTTTGGTCCTTGTTAAAATGAAGTCACTCCTAATAAATATATCCTAGAAACAAAACAACAAAAACAACAACAACCAGAAAGTATATATGCACCCCTATGTTCATAGCAGTGTTATTTACAACTAGAGGCCCGGTGCATGAAATTTATGCATGGGTAGGGACCTTAGGCCTGGATGGCGATCAGGGCCAATCTGTGGGGTGACTGGTGGGGTGATTGGAGGCGGGGGTGGGGGGGGCTGGCCTAGAGCTTGCAGGCTGGGGGCAGCTCCTGCAATGAGCGTCTGCCCTCCTGGTGGTCAGTGTGTGTCACATAGCGACCAATTATTTTGCTGTTCGGTTGATTTGCATATTAGGCTTTTATTATATAAGATGACTAAAATTTGGAAGTGGCTCAAGTGCCCATCCTTAGATGAATGGATAAAAGAGCTGTGTGATATTTACACTGGAATTCTATGCAGCTATAAAATAGAGTGGTTTCATACCCTTTGGGACGGCATGGATGGACTTGGAAAGTATTATGCTAAATGAAATAAGTCAAACTGAGAAAGACAAATATCACATGATCTCACTTATTTGTGGAATCTAATGAACAAAATGAATTGACCAATAAAATAAGACCCAGGGAGGCATGGCAAGACATACCTCAAAGTAGGGTTGGGGGGATGAGAAGAGTTAAACCAAAGAACCTCTACTTATATGCATAGCCCATGGACATGGGCAATAGGGTAATGAAGACCTGGGGCTGGGAGGAAGGATGGAAAGGGGAGGAGGGGATAGGCGACATCTGTAATACTGTCAACAATAAATATATATATAATAAATATAATAGTTTAATCTGTTATTGGGTATTTATCCTTTAGTGTGGATGCTGCTCCAGGGCGAGTTTTGTTCCAGGGCCGTCGGAGAGCCCTAGACCTGAAAGTGGAGAACAGACGCGGGATCTCCACAGACCAAAGGCGAACTTGATGGGTCTCTAGATGGTGAGGTGCCTGCTGTGGTTTTATTCAAGTGAAAAGCCCGCGCTGGATCTCACGCTGCATCCCAGGACTGTGGGCAGCACAAACAGACATTGTGTCTCTGTCTTCCCAGAGGTGGTTAGGCTCCTCGGAGCTTGTGACATTCCTTTCCCTCCAGGTCCTGACATAGAGATGAGCACGCCTTGTCACGGACAGTTGGGACCAAAGTAGCCTGGTTTATGACCAGGAACGCACCAACATCCCCTAAATGCAGGGCTCTGTACACGGCTGGGGACTCTGAGGCCTGACCTCCCACCCTTGCTTCCCACTCAACTGGCAAGTGGATGACGAGCACATCGCATGCAGATGGAAAGTGGGGAGTTCCTGAGCGTGGACCCAAAAATAGGGGGAATCCGTCTTCTGAACCCAAAACTCCTCACTCCTGGAGGATGGGGGATGCCCTCTTCTAAGGAATGTTCCCCTGCTGCACTTGGGAACTTGAGGATCTGGCCCATCACTGGCTTCCACTTCATTCTAGTGGCCGTCCCAGGAGGAGACTGCAGGGAACCTAAGGAGGGAAAGTGGTGGCTCTGACCTGGGAAGACCATGCCCTCCCCTCCCAATGTCCCTCTCTCTAGGATCCATCAGGAAAGTTGGGCTGGAAGATGCTCCGAATAATTGCTTTCCTGCCCTGTTATGGCGCCTCCATCGCCAGTCAGAGTTTTAATTAATCACGCCAGCAGATGGGCTGTCATGGGCCCCAGCAGCCAGGGTAATGAACTCATTTATTATCGGGCTCTGTCAGTGGGAGGCCGTCTCGGCTTCTGGGAAAAATGGAGGCTCCTGACACCAGAGCCCAGGATAGATGCAGTTTGGGGGAAATCTGTGGAAATGTTCAGATTTCAGGCCATGCATTGCCTTGTAAGAAGAGAGGGAAGGGACTGGGACTCGGTCCTGAGCAAGAAGCTGTGATGGTGCTTTAAATGGTGCTGAGGTTGGCTTGTCCCTCTGGTACCCTCTGCACCCTCCTGTCTCAGGAAGCTAGAGTGGCACGGGGTTGGGGAGGCACGGTATGCATTCTTAAGCAGGGGCACAGCAGGATGCTTTGTTCTCAGAGGTCCAAAGTCACGCCCTGCGGGTACACTGCTGGACTTTGTGCCCTGTGTTGTCGCATTCATCCCAGTTTAATAAATGCTGGATTAATGGGAGAATGGATAAGTAAATATTGAGTGTGGGATGCTCAGCATACAAGCTACCACTATGAAGGGGGAAAAGGCCTTCATTGAGCCCAGTTAAAGTCCAAGGTTCTAAGCAGCACCTGCTCTAGGGCCTGGATCTTAATGACAGTTCCTGCTTTGGGGATTACAGTGAACTATGTCAGGACTAGGTCAGTCAGAACATGTAATAAGCATGGCCACTCCAGTATGAGAAGCCGGGGGATGGGCCAGAAGGGACAGTATGCACACCTGGTCTGTCCCCTCGTTGACTGAGGAGACTGAGACCAGCATAGTGGAAGGCTTGCCCAAGGCTGTTTTGGCTCAGTGGATAGAGCTTCGGCCTGTGGACTGAAGGGTCCAGGGTTTGATTCCTGGGTGGCAGGCTTGATCCCCAGGGGGCATGCAGGAGGTAGCCAATCAATGATTCTCTCTCATCATTGATCTCTTCTCCTTCTCCC